TTTTTAAAAACTCAACAGTCTTTTTTGGTTTAGCTCCCAGTTACAGTGCTTAAGACTCAGTATTTATTCCATGTATTTTGATTGAATGACTGAAACTTAAGGAAGAACTTGGTAAATGCCATAAAGGCATAAAGTGCTTAGGAAATTCAAAAGAGAAGCTCTTATATGGAAGGCATCAGTTGCAGATGATATGTGAACTGGCCTTTGAAAGACATTTTTTTGTTGTTGCTGTTGTTTTTTTAGGGAATGGCATAATATACGCCTATGTACCAATAATTACTAACATTTTGTGGATAGTCTTTTTGGAAACGAAATTTCTTTGATTATATTCTTGAAATTCATGACTTAGAATACATGCATTATACAGCAGATTTACTCTTACTGTCTTTTGTTTAGGTTAATAGTGTGTTTTTTTCCCCAAGCAAACAACAATTTAGTGAGGTGGCTTGAGAAGCCTATTGTGTGACGGAGAAACCAGCCAAAATTAAGACGCTTCTGAACTGAAAAATGTACACACGGGTAGTGGATAATTATTGCATTTAGTTATTTCTGACTTTAGGGGGAAACCAGCAGCTTTTAAAAATTTTAATTGATTTTCTTGTGCGGCAATTCACTTTAAAAGAATACCTTTTAAATGAAAATTTGTTTTCATTTAAGTTAAGTGTGGTGGAATTTTGTTTGTCAAGTTTCATCTTTTGAGATGGACCATAATTAACAACTATTTATGACATTGGAAATATTAAAGTTTACTTCCTAAAGGAAAGTCAAATTTTATAGACTGCTTTGGGGACTCCCCTTTGACTTAAAAAAGATAAATATATTCCTGTGACAGTGGCATATTTCTGCAAACCAATCACTAAAAGACTATTGGAAAGCATATAATATGCTATTATGAGACATTTAAAATTATTAAAATTTGTAAAAGAAAAGGAAATCTATTGGGATTAAAGGTGTTTTACACACCTAGATTTTTTTTTTTATACAAAGTAATTATTAAAGTTTTGGAGCTTTTCTCATTAGGAATGTTGTTACCAAAAAAAGGAGAGAGATTTAAAAGGTATATTTAATCACTTAAAATTATTCTAAACTGTTGTTTTTTAATTTGTTTTTCTAATTTGGATCTGAAATAGAATGAATACCATTTTTTAATTTTCAAGGCCATTCCACATTTGGCTTCACACTTAATGAATTTAGTCATAATATTCCCAAACCCAGTAGGATACTATTTCTATGGTTACCAGACCCTTTGTAAAGTGACTAAGATTGGAATTCTGATTCTCATGAGTCAAATTTTGGCCTTTGACTCTGTCCCTTTCTCACACCCTTTGCTAAGCTTCGGCTGTTGCTATGCTTGAAGGCTTGTCAGCTAGCAGGTTCCTATGGTAACAGGAATGGAAATTTGAAAGAAGAAAGAGATTGGGAGCACAAAGGCTTGGTTGATTTGAATTTGAACAAAGAATGGAAGGTTCTATGTTGTGTACCTTTGTTGTGGAAACCAGAAATTTAATTTTAGAAAGTTACTTTTCAGTTTGTAAACTTCCTATACCTGGTTTTAATTTAGTGAACAAAAGTATTACTGTTTAAGGAATTACTCAATAAGAATCTTAAAATTTAATCAGCTAAAGATCCTTTTTCTACTTCATAGTGCTTTAATAGTATTGCTTATTTTATATATTTGTTTCCAACTTTACAGTATTCGAGCTACCTTATTTAATTTTTATTTAGCTGAGGTTAAAATTTGTTAGGGTTAAGGTCAAGGAAATTTGCTTATTTGAAAAATATTAATATTTTTGTTTTTATATAATGGCTTTGTTGAGGTTAATTTGTGTATAATAAACTGCACCCATTTGAAGTGTTTAATTCAAAGAGTTTTGAGAGATGTATGTACCCATGAAACCATCACCGCAATCAAGATATAGAGCATTTCCATCATCTCAAAATCCTCTTTGTGTCCCTTTGTAGTCCACACCCTATTGACTCCTTGCTCCAAGCCACAACAGATCTGTGTTCTGTCACTATGGATTACTTTCATTTTCTAGACTTTTATATAAATGTAGTCATACAGTATCTACTTTTTTCTGTCTGATTTCTCTCACCTTGGATAATGATTTTGAGATTCATCCATGTTTTGTTTTGCTTTTTAAAACATTATTTCCATTGACTTTTCTTTCTCACTTGGCATTTGAGAACAGGGACTTTAGCAGATTTCCTCATGCCCATCAAGTAGGCCTCCTACAACTCTATTATAATTTGTAACTCTTCAGTAATCCCCTTTAAAGCTATCATTTACTGGGGTCTGTATGCTATTTTATGTATTATTATTTGTGTTATAAGGCTGTTTTAAACTTTTACTAAAGTTTAGAGAGGTTGTGTAGAACAGATTGATTAAGCTCAAGGACTTTGGATAAGAGTGCCAAGGTTTGACCCTTGGCTCTTTGTGGCTATGTTGATCTTGGACAAATTAACTTTCTATGCTTTATTTTCTTCACATATATTATAAAGTGGGATTAATAATCATAGTACCTAGTTTATGAGATTGTTGAGAGGGTTAATGAGATAATGTGTGTAAGGCACTTAGAACACTGCCTAGCCTATAGTGACTGTCAGTAAATGCTAGCTGAGATATAGCACAAGGTACTTGTAGCTAATATGTGACAGAAGCATAAACTTGTAACTTTAGACTCAGTGCAAGCAGTGCAAAATGTCACTCAAATCAATTTTATAATTCATGATGGAGCTCACAGATGGAGGTTTTACTAACAGAGTAACTAACATAACAATATTGGATTGGTTGATATTTTATGTATTACTTAGTACCAAGCAAGATTGAGACTTGCTTAAGACATACATATACATATGTGTGTGTGTGTGTACGTGTATGTATGTATATATGTATGTACAGACATCATCAGCATGTGACTATAATACATTTTTTTAACTTTTAATTTTAAAATAATTATAGACTCACAGGACATTACAAAAATAGCACAGGAGATTATCTGGTAATTCTGTATTTAACTTCTTGAGGAATCTCCAAACTCTTTTCCATAGTGGTTGCCCCATTTTACATAAACAATGTATAAGGGTTTCAATTTCTCCACAGCCTTTCAACACCTGTTATTATTATTTTCTTAATTATAGCTATCCTACTGGGTGTGATATGGTAGCTCATTGTACTTCTCATTTTTACATTTCCCTAATGATTAATGGTGTTGAGCATCTTTTTATGTGCTTATTGGTTATTGCATAACTTCTTAAGAGAAATATCTGTTCAAGTTTTTGGCCTATTTAAAAAAATTGGGTTGTTTGTCTTTTTGTTGAGTTATAGGAGTTTATATATTCTGGATACTAGACCCGTATCAGATACCTCATTTACAAATATTTTCTTCCATTCTTAGGTTTGTCTGTTCAGTCTCATGTGTACTAAAGTGCCCTTTAATACACAAAACTTTTGATTTTGATGGAGTACAATTTATCTCTTTTTTCTTTTGTGTTTTTGGTGTCTCATCTAAGAAATCATTGCCAAATCCAAGGTCGTGAAGATTTACTTCAGTGTTTTCTTCTACAAGTTTCATAGATTTTGCTCTTATATTTAAGCTTTTGATGCGTTTAGAGTTAAGTTTTGTAAATGGTGTAAAGCACAAGGGTCCAACTGTATTCTTTTGCTTGTGAAATTTTGTCTGTAGCCTAGCAAGACCACCAAAGCTCTAATGGCTTCTCAGTTTCCTAGCATCTGCCTAGGCAAATTTGATTCTCAGCTTCTTGCCTTATGCCCAGATTTAAAAAATGCCTCCTTCGAAATAGGGCTGCACAAATCAGGCCACCTCACCATGCTTCCCTGCTCTCTGGATTCTTGGTCTCTCTAGTTCTTTTCCTTCAACAGTTCTCCAATCGCTTTAAAAAGATATTTTAAAACTTTTTTTCTGTATTTTAAAGTTTTTCTTGATGGAAACATTGGTTTAACACAAACTACTACTTCATACCTGGAAGTAATAGTAACATATAGTTTATTGCCACAAACAGTTTGTTGTATACTGGTTATCACATCCATTATACAGTTAACTTCTTTGACTTTGGTTTCTTTAAGTGACTCTTGCTTTTCTTGCATTGTGTATAGGAGATCTCTAGAAAATATATATCGGTGTAGAAATAAATTGATTTTTACTCAATAGGCATGGTGGTGAGAATATTTCTTATCAATTCAAAATCAGCAATGACTCAAACTATTATGTAAACAAGTGAAGAAATATATTTGATAGTCAAAAGCCCAGATGTACACTTCTTGGGATATTTGATCTGTTCCTGTGGTTATAATGATGATTTTAGTATGGTTTTATGTTTGGAGCCACTGTTTTTTTCTTTTTGTTTTCTTAATATCAACTTACAGTGTTAGCTCTGTTTACATCAGGTGATTTCAGAGTTTAAATAACTATTTTGTTTTGTTTTTAATTTTTAACGTAACAATATGAGAAAAGGTGAGAGATCTTCCCTGCTTCTCACCCTCAAAATAACTATTAGTAAAACTACTCTCCCTCCCCTCCCCTTATCTTTCCCTTTTTGTCCTCTCTCCTTTTGATACATGTTAATTGAAGAAAATATAGAAATACTTAAAAGGAAGAATATTAAAATCTTTTATAATCTCATCACCAAGTAGTAATTATTCTTTTGAGCATTTGGCAGATACCTTTTGTGGTTTTTCTTTGTAAAATGGATCATATTGTTATTAGCAGTTCTCAGCCTTGTCTTTTCATTAATATCACCTGTAACAATTAAAATATACATATAGATTCTGAGGTACATCTCAGATTTAACCAAATCAGAATTTGTAGGGGTAGGGCTAAGAGGGTTTATTTAATAAAACAAAAATCCTTCTTCAAAAAATTTTAATAACCTTCAGAAAAATTTTAAAACACAAAAACGAATAATGCAATATTGTATATAGAAAACTTTGATTTATATACAACTCTTTCTCTAATGATTCAATTTTAACTTTTTCCTAGCCATTCCACCCTATGGTGAATCTGGATTGTTCTCGGGATTTCCGGCCATTTCTTTGTGCACTCTATGCTCCTATTTGTATGGAATATGGACGTGTCACACTTCCCTGTCGTAGGCTGTGTCAGCGGGCTTACAGCGAGTGTTCAAAGCTTATGGAGATGTTTGGTGTTCCTTGGCCTGAAGATATGGAATGCAGTAGGTGCGAAAATCATATATTTTCATAGATCATTACTTGTGTTGCAGTATATTTAAAAAGTACTTGTCTTCTATCAGTTTTTTAAAACTTTTTTTAAGTACATATATTAGTCTTAATTTTGAACAGCAGTTTCATGGCCTCAGAATTACTCATTACCTTAGAAATTTGGAAGCACTAAATAAAAAGGTAGAAAAAGAGAGACATTATTATGAAGAAATTTTTTGAAGAATTAAATTAAGGAAAACATAAGACATTCAGTTAATTTTTTTCCCCTTAATTTTTTTTTTTTCTGGTTATAAAAGTAATGCCATTTATGAAAATTAGAAAATACAGAGAAGAAAAATCATTTGTTCTGTCATCGTTAAATACCTTTAATGATTACTCTATAGGACTTAAATATCTTCATGATTTAAGTGTGTTAATGACTAAAGTAGTTCTGTTTTTCTGTCATATATTAATATACCCAACCTAGAAAATATCAGATGCTTTTCTAATCATTTCCAATATATAGATTGTAAGCATTTCCTAAAGGTTAGAGGATGTTTACTAGACAGTCTTATAGATTTGTATCAGAGAATATTATTATTAGTAGTAATGTATACAGTAGTAATACTGTATTTCTTAGGTAAAACTTTGTGCCTTTTTGTATTCTGAAATGTTTCAAGACTAAAGAATAAGAAGAAGAGTATGTACGTGCCTGTTATTTTCCTGCTTTATCCAATCTTAACATTTGGCAATATTTGCTTCTGATTTTTTCTTTTTAAAAAATAAAACAATACAGATGAAGTTGAAAATTTCTTCTTTGGAACAGACAAATCTTGACAGTGAACAGAGCTTATGTATTTTTTTCTTTGTGCTTAACACGATAGGGAACAGTTTTAAAAGTTTTATTTCTACTTCAAGATGCAGAAAAGTCAAACTGTACAAACTATAGACACAGAGATAGAATTAATTACTGGAGGGATAATAATGGCTTTACAATTTAAAATTAGATGTACCCGGCCGGGCATGGCTCAGCGGTTGAGCATCGACCTAGGATCCAGGTGATCAGGGTTCGATTCCCAGTCAGGGCACATGGCCAGGTTGTGGGCTCCATCCCCAGTCAGGGGCATGCAGGAGGCAGCTGGTCAATGACTCTCTCATCACTGATGTTTCTATCTCTCTCCCTCTCCCTTCCTCTCTCTGAAATCAATAAAGATATATATTTTAAAAATTAATAAAATTAAATGCTTGCCTCTATCAGTAATAAAAGGATAAAAATCGTGACATTGAGAGAAGAGGAAAAAAGAAAAAAGCATACATTTTACTAGAATGGGAGGGCAAGCTCATGGGTGTACTAATAATAAAAAAGGAAATTAATGTTTTCTTTCTTAAAATAGGTAAAAAGAAAAATGAAATGGTACCTGTCTTGATTTCATTACCTTCTTTCTTCTCCAGAGATGAAGTAATCATTATATTAAATTTGTTGTTAATCATTTCTGTATTTGTTTTTATACTCTTACTACATGTATATGTAGCAATAAACAACATAAAATTCTTTTACATGTACCTATGTTTGTATCTTTAGGTTTGGTTCATTCCCTTTAATTGCTATATAATGACCAGTTGTATTAATATCCTGTAGTTATTTAGCCATCTCCTAGGGATGGTCGTTTGGTTTATTTCCAGGCTTTTGCTATTATAAGCAACGCTGCAATGAACATTCTTTTCTCTTTTGTGTTTAAAATTTTGTTTATCATCTTATAATAGCCCTTAGTGGTAGGTAAAAAGTAGGTGTTCTTACTCTCATTTGAGAGATGGAAATTTTAAGAAATAAAACATATTAATTTCTTGTAGTCAATTCACTGACATTTTGCTTTCTTATCCACTCTTTCCTCAAACACCTGATAATGTTTATAGTCCCTCTTTAGAAGTCTGTAAATGTCTTGGTATTTATAACAACAGTTATGAATTGACTGGGCCAGAATCCTATTTTATGTTTCTTGTATCTAGCTCTCATTGTTTAGTGGTTTTATTATGTTAATAGCTTACATACAAGCATAGAAATCTCATAACCTTTGTTTCTTTGTTTTGCTATGATTAAATCTATTTTATGTCCTCTCTATTGCCTGGGATTGCCTAACTCGGAAATCTTAAATTCTGGCAAGCTGGTCTTTCATAACAACTTTCCATTCTTTTATGTCTCTCATATTTTTGCCCCTACTGTACTCATCTTTGCTTCATGGACACCCCCAGACTTTTGGGGATTTTCCTTCTTTCCAATAGACCCCTTCCTGATCTTACTACTTATTTCCTTACTTTGCGTAAGCTTTGTGGTCCATCATTTGAAATAACACTTTTGCTAGCAGTTTTAATATATTCCTTCCACTGTACTTGTTCAAATACCCAACTGGGTTGATTCAACCAATTTTTTATAAATTACCTATGCTATTATTTAATGATTCTAACCATAGCAATTCTGTTTGCTGTTTGTCTTTGGTCAACAGGGAAATTTGTTCTTTCCTCTTAGCACCTATGCCAAACCTATAGTACTCATTTCACATCTGCATTTCACTTTTATTCTATATTTGACCCTTATTCCCCTCAACCTCAGCCCATTCTCCTTTCCTGAAAATCAGCTAGGCCATCATATGTGAACCGTGTGGTCTGCTACATCTCAGACTAGCCCTTCCCAGTTTTCTTTCTTGGATCTTCTTACTCTTTCTGACCCTTAAATATTGGTGCTTCTCAGAGTTCTGTTCCTGTTCTCTTTAATTCTACATGCTTTCCCTAGGTAATATCACCTTTTGATTTAACCTTTCATTCGTATACTGATGGTTCCTAAATCTAAATCTGTATCCTTGACATCTTCCTATCGTTCCAAATCTGTATAACCAGAGCCATTGGAAAATCCTTGCCTGAATTTGTCTCAGATACCTCAATTTCAACATGTCTAAAATTTATTCTATTCCTAGAACATTTTTTTATTCCCTAGAAGTCATCTTCCTCCTTCACTGACCTTAGCTTCCACATTCAATTAGTTATAAATCCCATTGCTTTGTCTTAATTTCATAGTTGTCACATTCTCACTGCCTTATATGGTTTTAATTTTGGCTCAACTGGTGTTATCTATCCCCATTTTGGCCCAGTTCATTCTGTCTTCCACACTGCTCCTGGTAGTCATCTTTCTAATTACTTGGGTTAGGGCTATATGAATATATTTATTAACAGTCATTAATTTAATAAATATTAATTGGATGTGTTCTGTGTGCTGTGTACTATTCTATGTTGAAGATGAGCAGTAAACAAAACATCTCTTTTATGGAGCTAAAATTCTAGTGGTGGGAGATAAATAGATAATGTCAGATGATTACAAATGCTATTAAGAAAGAGTAGAATTAGGTGATAGTGATACAATACAGGGAAGTAGAAGGACGCTGTTTTCTGTGGAGGCATTGGGGAAGGCCTTTTTGGTAAGGAGGCATTGGAACCAGGGACCTAAGTAAAATGAGAGAACAAATAATACAGATATCTAGGGAAGGACAGCCGAGGCAGAGGAAACAGAGGAGCAAGTTCAAAGGTTCTGAAGTGGAAGCATGCTTGGTATATTCAGAGAACAACAAGGAGACCAAAGGAGCTGGAGCCAAGTGAGTGAGGGAAGATGGAAAGATTATATAAGATCAGAAAAGTACTGGGGATGGAGGGAGTTTTGTTGCTCTAGTATGGAATTTGGATTTGACTGAGTGAGAAGGGAAGCCATTAGAGGATTTTGAGCTGAAGAAACATGACCATGAGCACAGGAGTGACTGCTGTGGAAGAAAACAATTGGAAGCCACTCCCAGAAGTCCAGGGAGAGGCACTGGTGTCTCAAACTGGGGGGCAGCAGTGGAGAAAAAGAGAAGTGGTCACATTCTGGATGTATAACAAAGTAGAATGACAGGATTTGCTGGTAGATTCTGAGGTGTAAATGAGAGAGAAGGGACTTCAAAGATGACTCCAAGGCTTTTGACTCAGGCAACTAGAAGAATGGAATTATCACTTATGGAGATGGAGAAATCTAAGGAGTAGAAATCAAGAGTTTGGTTTTGGAAGGGTTAAAGAGTGAAGGGCATGTTTTTGTTGAATTGGCAGTTGGATACGTAGTGCTACTTTGCATGGTTTTAAATTTTGTCATTGTTTAAATATACACCCATACACAGAAACATACATATATAATTCTGCAACATGCTTACCTCTCCAACCTCATCTCTTGTCACAAGTCACACACACCTCATGCTCCAGCAATACTAAACACACTTTGTTCAAACCTCTATGCTTTTGCTCGAATTTCTTACTAAAATACTGTTTGGCATACTTCCAATACTGGCAAATATTGATTCCAAAATCTTGTGTTAAAGGATTTACTCTCTGAAGTCTTTTATAACCTCTTCCCCTAAAATTATTAATCCTTCTCTATATCATTTTATACTTTATATAGATTTTGATTGCTTCATGTATCACACTGCTGTATTTTGTGTTATCTTTTCAAGTATGTGTTTCCTTTTAGACTGAAGGGTAGAGATCCTGTTCTTTTGTCTATTTATGTTAAACTCCTACCATACTGCAAGATACTAATAAATGCCTGAATGCAGTAAGTTTCTGTCTTTTGCTTTGTAATCCCAAGCCCTGTGAAGAAAATAGTTTGTATTGAAAAAAAAAAGATTAGTCTGCTACAGGATAAGGTTATGCATGCATTTGGCAAACAATATCAGTGATAGTGCCTTGGAAACTATTGGATGCATATAAACTAGTAAACAGTTAGTGGGAGTCTGAAGGCTTAGAAACTGCTATTGGCAAGAAAACTGAAGATGCAGGAAGTTCATGAGAATGGTACCCTTAGTCATGTAGGTATGTCTGCAGTACAACCCTATTTTCTTTGTCCTGCGGTTATGACACTTTTTGAAGTCTGTGGATCTGGGCAATTCTTAAAATGCAGATTTCTTGGGCCCTAACACAGGTAAAGTGAAATATGATTTATGGTGGTGGGGACCAAGAATTTACTTTTTATAAGGACCTTAAGTTTTCTCATGTACTTCAAAGTTTGAGGATAACTAAATTAGAGAATGCAGTGGGTTTGAGAGAAATTAGGGATGGTAGGAATGAACTAGTTGATTTCAGAGACTTTAGAAGGCCTTTAATTAACCAATATGATAAGCAGAGAATGACTGAAAACAGAAAGAAAAAAACCTAAAAACCAAGCCACTTATAAGGATTTTTAACGCTAATCTATCTCAGAATACCTTGGGCCATGCATTTAGGGAATATTTTTAACTTTTATGTTTAAGTAAGTTCTGTTTGAGTCTAGCATAAATTGAGGACTGTACTGTAGTTAGACCAAAGTAACTTTTAGTTTCTATTCTGATGGAGCTATATATTTGTATTTATCTTATTTTATATATATGCTTATATTTTGAAATCCTCTAAACTCTGTGTTCTAAATAAATAGTTTATATATACACCTTTTATTGATGGCTATGCTTGACTATTTTAAGAAAGTACTGTTTTTAAAGCTAAAACAAAATTAAGTATAAAACTTTTTCATTTTTGGTCAACTATGGAAAATCTAGTTCTATGGCCCACACAGAAGATATCACTATTTACTTTATTTCTCATTATTGTAATGTGCTCCAAGGACATAAGAATAAATAATAAGGTCACAGGTGCTAAATTTGGAAATCCAAATTGTTGGCAGATTTCCCAGTAAGTAAAATGGTTCTTATCTTGTATTTTATAGGTTCCCAGATTGTGATGAACCATACCCTCGACTTGTGGATCTGAATTTAGCTGGAGATCCTACTGAAGGAGCCCCAGTGGCAGTGCAGAGGGACTATGGTTTTTGGTGTCCCCGGGAGTTGAAAATTGATCCTGATCTTGGTTATTCTTTTTTGCACGTGCGTGATTGTTCACCTCCCTGTCCAAATATGTACTTCAGGAGAGAAGAACTTTCATTTGCTCGATATTTCATAGGATTGATTTCAATCATTTGCCTCTCTGCCACGTTGTTTACCTTTTTAACTTTTTTGATTGATGTCACAAGATTCCGTTATCCTGAAAGACCTATTATATTTTATGCAGTCTGCTACATGATGGTATCATTAATTTTCTTCATTGGGTTTTTGCTTGAGGACCGAGTAGCCTGCAATGCATCTAGCCCTGCACAGTATAAGGCTTCCACAGTGACACAAGGATCTCATAATAAAGCCTGTACCATGCTTTTTATGGTACTTTATTTTTTTACTATGGCTGGCAGCGTTTGGTGGGTAATTCTTACCATCACATGGTTCTTGGCAGCTGTGCCAAAGTGGGGTAGTGAAGCTATTGAGAAGAAAGCATTGCTATTTCACGCCAGTGCATGGGGCATCCCTGGAACTCTGACTATCATCCTTTTAGCGATGAATAAAATTGAAGGTGACAATATCAGTGGCGTGTGTTTTGTTGGCCTCTACGATGTTGATGCATTGAGATATTTTGTTCTTGCACCCCTCTGCCTATATGTGGTAGTTGGGGTTTCACTGCTTTTAGCTGGCATTATATCCCTAAACAGAGTTCGAATTGAGATTCCATTAGAAAAGGAGAACCAAGATAAATTGGTGAAGTTTATGATCCGGATTGGTGTTTTCAGCATTCTTTATCTCGTACCACTCTTGGTTGTAATTGGATGCTACTTTTATGAGCAAGCTTACCGTGGCATCTGGGAAACAACTTGGATACAAGAACGCTGCAGAGAATATCACATTCCATGTCCATATCAGGTAAGGGAAACCTTGTTCTAAATTTCAAAATGTGTAATAGTGAAAAGAAGTCATATTACTATAAAAAGCTGTGTTTTTTTTTTAAAAAAACTTCATGAACCTTCAACTTGTACATTAAAATTTTAAAGCAAAGATAATGAACAAATATATTGTAGTAAGAATGTCATACACATGTTTCTATAAACATCTTCCTTTTAAAAAATGACTTTTACCAGTCTAAGCTATGGGCTTTTAATCAATTTACTTCTGTTATTACAAAACAGTTGCTTGTTGATTCTTTAGAACTCCGCAGGTTTGAGGGGAAGAAGCACTTTACCAACTCTGATAAAAATGCACTGTCTTTTTGTAGAAATTTTACTGGTATTCAAAATAGGAATTAAATGTTTTGCAAAAATAATAGAATGCTGTTGTACAAACCAGTTTATCTCTTAATTGGCCTTGTTTTTTTCTCTTTTGCAAACTGAATATTTTGTGATTTACTTTTTTTTTAGTTTAAAAAGATTAGATAATCATAATCCTAGAATCATAGAATTTTAGATCTAGAAAGAACTTTAGAGATCCTTTATTTAGGTTCCCTCTATAAAGTTCTTAAGCATCTGTCTCATTTGAGGCGTAGAAATGTATAGTAACTTGCTCACATTCATCTGGGATTTAGGTCTTAGGAGAGAGTGGAACAAGGAAAGTAATTCAGAGGAGTTGATGCTAAGTATTTATCTCTCATCTTAAAACCTTTTCTGGAACCGTGCCACTAGCTATTACCCTCTCTTCTTCCTTTTAAGACAAGTTTTCTTAAAAGAGTTGTCTCCTGTTCATCGTGTTCCAGGTTTCCTGTTCTCGGAAGTGCACCAGCCACCCTTTCATCCACCCCAACCCTTATGTTTCTCTAATATCTTTTAAATGTCTTTCTTAAAGTACTTATGTATTATATAGATAACTTTTATTTGTCTAGTTCCCCTACTAGATGGTGAACTCTCTGAAAGCAGGAACTTCTTTTTCATATTTTTGAATGCATATTCCGTAGGTTAGTAGATGATAGCATTGAGAAGGTGGGTGTTTAGATTGAGAAGAAGAGACGTAAGAAATGGTAACTGGTACTGGGGACAAGGAGTGTATGATTAGCACATAGTCAAGGCTCATAAATATTTGATGAGTAAAAATGCCAGTTCCCTTTATTTTGTGGTATAAATAGTTCTATACAAAATTGTATTTTTGTTACTGTATAAGTATTAGCTACTGGCTTTTAAAAAAATAAATAAATTCAAAATGAAGAAACCCCAAAAAATTAATAATTGAAATTGTATTATACTTCTTAACAGAATTATGTATTAAAAACTCTTAATATGAATTTTCAGATCTGAAGATAACTAATTGAATTTTGCCCCTAATGAGAGAGAAAGAGGTGGTTAAATTACATCATATGCTTCCCCATATGAGTTATCTAGGATTCCAAATATATATTGTCTTAGGGTTATTGAAGAAACAATGCTTAACTATGAAATAATGATCTAAAAAATACCAAACCTCAAACATGTAAATTACAGTAGTTGGGATGCTGCTATTTTTAAGACATTCCTAGAATTATTTTAGCATCTTTAGAAACAGTTTAAGCTACGCAGGTATGTGTATGTATGTGCACATGTGTGCACACATACATTCCTTTATAGTCATAGGTTAAAAGTATTTTTCCAACATACAGAAATCTTTGATTTCCAACATACTGAAAAGAATAGAGAATGATATAATAACAATAACATAGTTTTTAAGCTATAAACTCTGGAGCAGGAACCCTGGGTTCTTATGTTACTTTCATTATTTACTACCTTTATAACCTTAGACCAGCTTCACCCCTCTCTGCTTCAGTTCCTCATCTGTAAAATGAATAATACAATCTAATAGTAATAGTATTAGATATAGATAGTAATAGAATCTACCTCCTAGGGTTGTTTTTAGGAACATACATGCAGACACTTAGAAGAGTGCCTGCTACCTAAGTGCTCAGATGTTAGCTTTATTACTCATTTTCTTCATTTATTGTTGCTGCTCTTGCTGTTTACATACATACATACATATGTATATGTAAATAGAGGTGTTTCGTTAAACCATCCAGTATCAAGCTTTAGCAAATGCCATATTTGCTTCAGACTTTTCAAAGAAATCATATTACAGATATGGCTAAAAATTCCTGTGTAACTTTCCCCAGTCTTCTTTCTTTTCTTCCCTGTCCAGAGTTAACCATCATCCTGAATTTGGAGTGCTATTCCCATGAAAGTATAAATTACCAATGTGAATGTAGCTATGAAAAAATTTTGGTTTATATAGTATGTAAATGTTATAGTATACATCTGTTCTGTAACTTGATTTTTTAACTTAGCATTTAGTTTTTGACATGTATTTATGTTCATACTGTAGTTCATTTTAAAAATGATTCCTTTTAAGGAAGTTTATGTTAATATTTTAAATATATAGAAGTATAGAAAATAACAAACACCCATGTACTCATATAATGTTGAAATCTTAACATTATATTTTATCCACCTGGCTGGCTGGCTGTCTCTTATTAAATACAAAGCTAATGAATGCCTCTGTTCCCTTTCATATTTCCATTTCCTTTCCTTCTCCCTTCCTAGAGGTAACCCTTCTCATAAATGTGATATTTACTACTCTTCCTAATATTTTTATACTGAGGCTGAATATGTATCTATAAAACTTGCAATTTTGCAACGTTTTAAAAATTCATATAAGAGAGGTAATTGTGTAGCTTGCTTTTTTTCACTTAGTTTTATGTTTTTAAGAATATAAATGTTGATATGTGTACCATTAACTTGTTACTTTCATATATTAGAGTAGTCTAATATATAAATATATTTCAATTTATTTACTTATTCTGTTGATGGGCATGTAGTTTCCAATTTTTTTGCTATTATAATCCATTTTGCAGTGAACGTTCTTGTAATACCAGTCTTCCCTGGACATGCCTAAGAATTTCCATGGGATATAAACCAAAAAATGAAATTGTTGCATTGTAAGATAGAGACGTCTTCAACTCAAGTGGTTATTTTAATTTTACACTGAGTGCAGTGTGAGTTTGATGAGGTTGGACATGTTTTTGTATGTTTATTGGCTTTCTCTTCTGTGATTTGCCTATTTGTTACCTTTGTCCATTGCTCTGTTAGGTTATTTGCCTTTTGTTGTTGTCATAATTTAAATATTTTTGGTATTAATTCTTTGTAATTTATTTTTATTGCCGATATCTTTTCCTGCTCTGTAGCTTGTCTTTTGTGTTTCCTTTGCCTTTTGTGTTTTAAAAAATCCTTCCTTGTTTCTGAAGTCTTAAATGTGGTCTGCCATATTTTTTCTAGCACTTTTTAAAATTTGAATTTTTCATTCATATGTCTAATTCCTTGAAATATATTTTTGCCTACATTATGAGTAACATGATTTTATTTTTCCACATGAATGCTTTCTGCACCATTTATCAAGTAGCCCTTCTGGATTGTAATGCAACCTCTGTCATATACAAGTTTCAGTTTTAGGCTCTTTTGTTCCATTGGTCTGTTTGTATAACCTTGTGTCAATTCTACATTTCCCCTATCTTCTTGTTCTTCAAAATTATTTTAGTCATTCTTGGCACTTTTTTATATGATTTTTAGAATCATATAAAATTTCTCCATGAAATATATTGTTGGGATTTTGATTGAACTTGTTTTTTATTTTAAATGAATGTGGGGAAAATTGCCATTTTTATAATACTGAGTTTTAATATATTTTTGTTTATTTATATATTCACTTGTTTCTGGGTACCTTAAGTTTTTGTTGCAGTTGTGAATAAGATATTTTTTCTATTACATTTTAAATTGGTTATTGCTGGTGTACAAGAATGCCATTGATTGATTTTTGTGTATTGATTTTATATTGATCATCTCTGCTGAACTCTTTTATTAGTTATAATTGTGTTTAGATTCTCTCAGATATTCTTTGTAAAAACCCTATTGTCTGCAAATAAGGACAACTTTTTCTCTTGCTTTGTTTCCAGTTCTTGTTTTATTTATGGTTTTTGCATCTGCATTAGTTCCCCATTATCCGCAGGGGATATGTTCCAAGATTCCCAGTGGAGGCTTGAAACTGCAGATAGTTCTAAACCCTATATATACTATTTTTTTTTCCTATACATACACACCTACGATAAAGTTTCATTTATAAATTGGTAACAGTAAGAGATTAACGATAATAAAATAGAACAGTTATAACAATTACTCAATTTTTTACTTAAAGGAAGCACTTTATAGTTTCTCTGACACATCAATAGTCAGCATCACTAATTCTTGCCCTTTGGGGTCATTATTAAGTAAAATAAGGGTGACTTGAACACAGCACTGTGATACTGAGATAGTTGACCTGATAACAGGTGGCTACTGAGTGACTATTGGGCAGGTGTTGTATGCAATGTGGAGATGATGGACAAAAGGATGATTCATATCCTGGACAGGATGGAGCAGGACAGTGTGAGATTATATCACCCTACTCAGAAGTGTGCCATTTAAAACTTATAAATTACTTATTTCTGGAATTTTCTATTTAACATTTTCAGACCATGACTCACCACAGGTCATTGGAACTGCAGAAAGCCAAACTGGGGATAAGGGGAGACTACTGTATACTCAGGAGTGAGATAGATTGTGATAATTGTTGCTTTTCTGTACTGCCCTTGTCCAGTTTTGGTGTTGAGGTTATAATAGCTTCATAAAGTGAGGGGTTTTTTCCCCATTCTCTGAAACAGTTTTTATAATAAATAGGTCTCTCTGGTCTTTGAAAGGGTTGGTATATCCTCCCGTAAAAACTCTTGCATCATAGCATTTTTGAAGAAGAGAGAAGTTGTGGAAAGCACTAGGTTTTTAAAACTTACCATTTCAATTTCTTTAATAGTAATTGTTTTATTCAGGTCTTTTCTTCTTGAGGCATTTTTGGGAATTTATATTTTTCTAGAAAAATATTTTTTCAAG